GATTAAACCCGGAAGTATTGAGGCCGAACCAGGGAAAGCGAAATAGCCTGAGAGACGACCAGGCGTTATTGACGGGTTCACGGCGTACATGATACGAAAGTATGAACATGGAAGGTTTTTATATCACGCCACGATATTCATTGATTTGCGTGGTATTTTTCACCAATTATATTTCAATTGTAATTAATTTTTTGAAACGAGTGAGTTTAGTTTTACGCCGCATTTTGCAATATTCCAGTATAATAATGGGAGGTGGACACCAGAAATGGGCTTCACACACTTTACCCATGTGGGGAATCGAACCCGGGTGTTCAGCGTCACGAGCGATCGCTTTCACCACTAGGCTACCCCACCGCCCTTGTTTGAAATGGTGGACATAGTGAGGTCATGGTGATTGTAGCGAAAGTGCCTCAAGGACGTGTTTGGTAACATATGTAGGTAACAGTCGAAGTGACATAAGTGCACTGATGCATACAACGATGTTTACACAAGGTAAGTGAATGAGTTCAGTGTGTACTCAACTGATAGCAATGTACACGCAATATGTGACGGAGACACCTGTGCAGGAGACACTGGTTTCGGGATTCGACCTCGGCATTGTGTTACTTATAGCCTAACTTTCAAAAGCAACGAGGTGACAAGTCACCAGGGTCCCCATCCACAAAGCATTCGTAATGTTACGACCTATCGTAACTCTAGAGTTTACCATAGGCTTACGAACGTTATAGCTCTACGGACACAAGGAGCCATACACTGATCTTCGTGATGATGTACCAAACATTTGAATACAAAATTATTACATAACAGACTTCAGAACCCGGGTGTCTGATTTTGCAGAATCGAGCATGGAAATGTATGTATGTACACACAGCCCAGACGTGTTATGTGTTCACATTGCAGAATCAAGCAAGGAAATGTATGTATGTACACACAGTCCAGACGTGTTATGTGTTCACATTGTAGAATCGAGAAAGGAAAGGTATGTATGTACACACAGCCCAGACGTGTTATGTGTTCACATTGTAGAATCGAGAAAGGAAATGTATGTATGTACACACAGCCCAGACGTGTTACGTGTTCACATCGTAGAATCCAGCAAGGAAATGTATGTATGTACACACAGCCCAGACGTGTTATGTGTTCACATTGCAGAATCCAGCAAGGAAATGTATGTATGTACACACAGCCCAGACGTGTTATGTGTTCAAATTGTAGAATCGAGCAAGGAAATGTATGTATGTACACACAGCCCAGACGTGTTATGTGTTCACATTGTAGAATCAAGCAAGGAAATGTATGTATGTACACACAGCCCAGACGTGTTATGTGTTCACATTGTAGAATCAAGCAAGGAAATGTATGTATGTACACACAGCCCAGACGTGTTATGTGTTCACATTGTAGAAAACGAGAATCACTTGTATTATAACACATTAGACGTTTAAAATATATTTAATACTTACGTTTGTATGCGATGGTTCAACAGTGTACTGTCCCTGGCGTGGAGTTTGTTCTCAGTTTACACATCTCTCGAGATGACTCACGTCCGGGTAGTATACCTATATGTAACATAACAAGCCCTGTTTCTACCCAGATACAGGGAAGTAATACACCACGCTGTGGTAGCTTTTCACCCGGTATGAACTCGTGTCTGTAAAATGTTCTCGTTTGCGAGTATTTTTGACATTTCCTCAGCATTTCTGGTTTGATATTTCACAATTCAGGGGTTGTAGATTTCCAGATTTAACTAGACAAATAAAACGTTTCAGCGACAAGAGCATGGCTGGTGTGTTTGTTAGGGTTGCCTCACAAGGTAACTGATGGGTTGAGTTGAGTATTACGTCGTATCAACATTGTCTCAGCCATATAGCGACGATACCAAGTCTGCATACATGGACATTTTAAGTGCAAACATAACACAAAATTTAAAAACAAGCAATCCGCCATTCACATTATATTATTACAATTTATAATACAGGTCTAGTTCCCTCAAGTAGTTAACAATGAGATGTCTGCTCACACGGGGAAACAGATCTTTCAGATTTGTCGCATCATAATGTGAATCACTTGCATTTGAAAAGTCCACACAGTCAAGCGGAATATGGTTGATGGTGAACGCTTCATCGCAAGAGACACACATAGGAGGTCCATCGCCATCTGTTTTCAGCAGACAGTCATGAGTAAACCGACTGCGGCCAGTACGACATCGTCGTACCTGATGAAGGGGGCACACAGAACTGTGACTGGTTGACTGGGTGAATGTGTTTGGTTTTATGGCGCTTTGACCAGAGTTTTGGTTAACCCAACAAGAAGAAAGGAAACACAATCATGAAACAATGCCAGACCAAATAATGAATGTCATTCACTGAATTGGTCCAAACATATCGCCATTGTAACAGTCAACTAAACGCAGCTACAGAAAAACGCAGTTCGCGAATATGATTATTCGATAAACACACTATTCATTTGCTGCTCCTAAAGTATGTTGAGTCCGGAGTTTTGCAGGTAATCCAAGCAATATGTCACCGCTCCCCACTCAGCTGAAATGTGTTGAACACTTTCATATTTTAAATCATATTTTAGTTATTCATCCGATATTTATCGACAATCGAATAATATTCATACACAAATTAAAGTTGCGGGCAACCTTGAGGGCTCCTTGGCTTGGATAATTTCTAAACATTTGGTACCTGATGTCGAAAGTAGTAAAGGTTATAGCTGATATGGATCATATCATTGTCAGTAATGAAAAATACTTCAGTGGTAAACTTTGAATTCTTATGTTTTCAGGGTTAGAAACAAAGGATTGTGTTGTATGGTATGGGTAATTGCACGTTTATTTTCGGGTGAGTGTAGATACAATTTCCAGCTAAAAGCACCTCTACTGCAGTGTATTTTAATGTTGTGTAGCGCTAGCTCTCGTCATTGTCAATTGAAACTGACAACGTCTCCCATATCCGCACGTGGACCACGCTTTGTAGCAGATATCGTCCCTGCGCTTTCCTTCAGACTGTCGCATGTTTTGCACGGGCAATCTGCCGTGTCGTAAATCTCCGAGAAAGTTATGACACATTCCAGACATCACAAAGTCGGCGAGCGAGTGAGTGGATTTGTAGGATTTTCAGGGCTGCCTCTAACCACGAAACGGTGATATTTTTAACATGTACCTTAGAATAAAAAATGATCAGCAAACCATAGACATATACACTGACAATTTTCATAGCCCACAGTAGAGAACCAATCAAGATTAGCAACTGTGGTGAGGAAAATAGAATATTACTTGTCCCTCCGTTGTCTTTGAAGCTATGTTGCTGCAACTGGTACACACAACTGACACTGGCGGCATAAATGCACATCCCAATTTTGGTCGAAATCGGAAGGTTGTTTTCCGAGTTACGGGTGTTTAAAGCTGGAAAACATGAGCTCCGCGGACAGGAAAACTTGACCCCTGGTCGGCGCGGGGTCATGTACATTTTAAGAAGTTCCGGAGAAGAAATAGTTGTAGCTCCGTTGTCCTTGGGTCTACGTTCAAAACAATTAGTGTTCTGGAATCGTCAGGCCTTCAGCTATCAGACGCACCGTCTCAAGTGTCCAAACGGTGCATTTTAGCGACTTGAGCCGTCCAGGCGAAATGGTAGGCATTTTGATTGTAGGACACATAATGCATTTGTGCAATTTTCAATGCCTTATGGCCGACAAACGATCCAATGTTGTACATGCATGTAAGAACACGAAATGTTAAGCATCTTATGTGGATGCATACTGCCAGGTTTTACTGCCTTCTGTGCAGAACTCGAGCAGCTATGCTGTTTATAATGTAGTATCATCAGAATCTGACGAAATCCAATATGGCCGCCAAGCAATGCACATTTTGACATGAACCCAAGAACAAAAAATGTTCAACATACCAAGTTACTACGTACTGCCAGATGCTAGCTGCATAGGTGAAATAGTAATGTTGCTGCGATTTTTTGAAAATACATTTTAGTACAAAATAAACAACAGAAGCAAACATCTAGATATCCGTAACTAATCAAGATATCGCAACATAGCTTATGGACATTAATAATTGAGGTATATGTTGTATATCTGCACATTTACAGCGTTCTGCAGTTCATACGTTCAGAGTTATGGCTTGCGAAAAATGCCTACCCTACAAAATCTGCACATTTCCGAGAAACATCTTCAATCCAATATGGCCGCCGCATCACGTGACTTATGACATAGGACCAAGAACAGAAAATGTTCAACAACCAAAGGCCACTTCAGAACAAGCGCTTAAAATGTTGTATGTGCTAAGTTTGGTTTGGCACAAAATGGCAAAGAAGCCTGTGAAAGTTTTTTGCCGAAAAGTAGCGTCCAATATGGCGGCCATCATATAAACATAGGCAGATTTGACGATGCTACTGTGTAGAAACATGCATAGACACAAAGTATGCAACGTTTGAAAGCCGTAGCCCTTGTAGTTTTAGTGCAGCACATTTTGGGAGGTATGCAGTCAGGATTTTGCTGAAAAACATCACCAAAAACTTCAATCCCAAATAGCGTCCAAACGGTGCATTTTAGCGACTTGAGCCGTCCAGGCAAAATTGTAGGCATTTTGATTGCGCATCTGCTCCAGAACTTTGGCAAACATTGGAGCATTAGTTTTGGAGATATTTGCATTTGCGTTTGAAATTTTTTAATTAATTTTGAATTATCTGCCCTTTGCTATTGGGCCTACAGCCTACAGATTTTAAAGCGCGATATGTACACCTCGGTGGGCATCTGGGTGATTTTTTTCAAGGCATTCTGTCCGGCGGTGCTCTCTGTAGCTCTGGTACAAAATACGGCGGAAGAATAAATAATAATAATAATAATAATAATAATAATAATAATAAAAACACGAACGATTACAATAGGTCTCCTGCCTAAAGGCAAAGGAGCCCTAATTATCTATCTCTGTGATCTATACTGATTGACCAATTAAGCAGATTGTTAGTCGTTCATCTACCTTTAAAAGCAGGACAGGCAAGCAATGAGGAGCCGGCAGACAGCGGGAAGAGCGCGGGCAGACCGGCAGAAGGCAAGCCATGGACAAGGAGGGACAAACACTCAGCAGCCCATCCATCCCATCTGCTGCCCCAGGGTAAGTCTGACCTCCGCGCCTTCTCCTGGTAGTCTCTGTCGGATTTTGTGAAGGCTCGAAAATTAAAATATACCGGACAAAATAAGTTAGGGATATTGGTATTTTTATGATTGATATTTTATCAGTGTGTCAATAAATAAATATATAATTATTCATAATTTCAAAATGTATATATATCCCTAACTATTTTTGTCCAGTAAAGTTAATATAACTCGAGAAAGACAATCTCCCATTCCCGTCACTCGTTAGTTAGTCTAATCATCACTGTTTGATAGTCGTAATTAATCACATGCTTAGTCATCATTTCTCATAGGGTCAATCACCCGATTGTTTGCAGACCGCGTCGTGCAACTGAATGGGTCGTTTGATAACACATACTCATGGTAAAGTCAGAATTGTACAATCGACTTGCGAAAGTGGAAATATTTGTTGGTTTCACACTGAGTACGTTTACGGTCTGAATCAACACTTAGCAACTCGCATCATGTGCGTGGCTATTGGGTTCGCCCTACTCCTGGCGGCCATTATAAGTTGTTCACTGGTCACAAGGGCGAGGGGAACATAAACAAACATCAAGGGTACATCAACCCATGGGCTCCGAGGGACCAGTGAACAACGTATTTATCTTACCGAACACCTTAATGTTAATTTTGAATTGTTTGAAGCACGGGTACAAATCTTTTTGTAGCCATCGTTAGATTTTGCTGACAAGAAAAACAGATTTAGAGTTATCTCCCTTCCATCGAATTGCATTCGCAAAACATCAGTCATTTCCGTACAGCATTACGTGATTCAATGTAATTCGAGGTATAGAAATACTACCACGAAGTACCAAATGAGTTGCCATTGACAGCGGGGTACATTGAAATGTTACTCGCTTGTAAGCAGGGTACATTGAAAATAATAGAAGAGCGCTCAGCCAATCAGAGAGCATCATTTATGTGTGAGATAAGATAACTTGTATTGTATATTACTGTGTATTCTATACAAGTTTACCCTTGATAAATCGGGTGACCAGTTGTAATGTCCATCAGAGACAGGGTAGCACTGGTTGTCTCGGGTCTCTCAAATGTAATAATCTAACACACGATTCTGTATCATGCATATGATATCGCCGCCATAACTCCCATACACATACTTCATCATCGAAAATCCATCAAAGATGTGTGTACACTTTCTTTTTGAAGTCAATATATTCAATTTCCTGTCAATATGCTAAATTATGCAGGTGTGGTGACATAGTAGTCAAAGGTCAGCTTTCTACAAAATTAGCCAGGATCAGTTTAAGTGAGAATAATTGACCGTGAAATTACATTGAATGTGCGAGGACTTTGTGCTAAGGGGCCGTTCATAATTTTATTGCTTGGGTGGGGTGGGGTGGGGGAGGGGATAGAGGGGACATCAATTTTGTACTAGTTGGGTCGATATTGAAGTTTGTACATCACATGCAGGAATAAGTCATTTAGTTAGTACATTAATTCTAGGGACGGTGTGTTAAGGTGATGGTCATTTACTTAGTACATCAATTCTAGGGGCGGTGTGTTAAGGTGAGGGCCATTTACTTAGTACATCAATTCTAGGGGCGGTGTGTTAAGGTGAGGGTCATTTACTTAGTACATCAATTCTAGGGGCGGTGTGTTAAGGGATGGTCATTTACTTAGTACATCAATTCTAGGGGCGGTGTGTTAAGGTGATGGTGATGGCTTAGTACATCAATTCTAGGGGCGGTGTGTTAAGGTGAGGGCCATTTACTTAGTACATCAATTCTAGGGGCGGTGTGTTAAGGTGAGGGTCATTTACTTAGTACATCAATTCTAGGGGCGGTGTGTTAAGGTGATGGTCATTTACTTAGTACATCAATTCTAGGGGCGGTGTGTTAAGGTGATTGTCATTCACAACGTACATACTTCTCCATAAAAGTCGACATCGCCACCCTATCACCCAACCGGTCACTAACCCTTTAGCCGGGGTATCTCGTACAATCCTTTCAATGTTGCTTTGCTTTGCCTTTTCTTTATTTATACAAGACAGCAGTGTGTTGGCAGGATGCACATTTAAAAACTATGATTCAAATCTAATGTAGATGTTTACACGATCCGGAAAGAAACAGAGAAAACGTTTTGTGCGAACTCTTTTTAGAGCAAATTGATATGAAGCTCAACACTGGCATTGACGTATCAGTGGACCATCTCTGTGGAAGATACTATTTCCCTGAGTTCATGTGATATTGTAAATGTTCCTGGTAAAGAGGAACACAATACACGCTACATGTAATGTTGACAGAAGGGCGTTAGTCAGATCACAAAACATGAATCGCCAGACATCTCGGACATATGTGTGTTGACAGAAGGGCGTTAGTCAGATCACAACACATGAATCGCCAGACATCTCGGACATATGTGTGTTGACAGAAGGACCTTAGTCTGGGTCCCGTTCCACTAACCGATCTTAGCCCTATGCCAATCGTAAACCCCTAAAATCTCAATCTTAGCGTGACGTTACGATCGGCATACCGTTCCACTAACCAATCTTACCTACGCCAATCTTAAAGTTAAGATTCAAAGTCTAAGTTGCTCATGACCAACTTAGAATAGCTAAAATCAATCGTAGAGAAACCAAAATGGTGGTTTTCCTATTCTATGTGAAAAATAAGAGCGAGCATTTCACCGTGAGCGTCCCCTAAAGTTCCCCATGAAATGAATTTGTATATTTCTGTGATGTAAACAAACACTGCACTGAAGCTTTACAAATGTCAGGCCAGTCTGACCACTGTCGTCATGGGAACACAACCGAGCGAGTCGGTGTAACACATTTGTACAACAATATTGCAACGCCATTGTTAAGAATAGGGACAGCCTTGAAGTGAACAATGTTCTGAAGCAAAAAGATACAAATGTGCTTGATTTCACTGCGCATATTTGGTGGGGAATTCTTAAGGCAGACCGCGTGTTATTCAAGACCACTGACAGATTCTACCTACGCTATAGCCTCGTCACACCTTGTTTATTCTGATTGACAAGGTTCAGGCACATATTAAAAGTCCAGACTTAAAACCTGTTCTCAGTATATTACTTATAATCTCGGCTGTAAATGTTCTCGTGTAAATTATCTGTGCACAGCGCTTTGAGCATGCCCAAGGATGTGGAACAGGCGCACTATAATTATGCATTTATTATTATTATATTATGCTTGATACCCAGCGTTCTCACGCACTTGCACCTGAAACCAAGGTGCTCACTACCCTAATATTTTGCTCTAGGTTTTTTTCTGCAAAAATACCCATGAAGGCCCGGTTTAGAATATTGAACATCAATAACCCACGCCTGTCGTAAGAGGCCACTAACGGGATCGGATGGTCAGGCTCGCTGACTTGGTTGACACATGTCATCGGTTCCCAACTGCGCAGATCGATGCGCATGCTGTTGATCACTGCATTGTCTGGTCCAGACTCGATTATTTATAGCTTAGATACATAGCGTTCACTAACATGAACGCTCATGTTAGTGAACGTTATGCATCTTAGCTACATTATTTACAGACCGCCGCCATATAGCTGGACTATTGCTGAGTGCGGTGTAAATCTAAACTCACTCACTCACTCACTCAGTTGGTTCGTAAGCTACTTTCTAGCATTTGCTAGACTATGCAAAGGGAGATAACTCGTGCCTCCCGTTCCTCCATCTCTCGCACGAAAGAGTCTCGATCTAAGCTTGGATCGGATCGTAAGATCGGGACCGGCTACGGTCGGCCTAAGATTTGTTAGTGGAACGGGTGTAACTTTTAGCTAAGACGATTGTAAAATTGGCGTAGCTTGCTAAGATTGATCTTAGCTAAGATCGGTTAGTGGAACGGCACCCAGATCACAAAACATGAATCGCCAGACCTCTCGGTCACATGTGTGTTGACAGAAGGGCGTTAGTCAGATCACAACACATGAATCGCCAGAGCTCTCGGTCACATGTGTGTTGACAGAAAGACGTTAGTCAGATCACAAAACATGAATCGCCAGAGCTCTCGGTCACATGTGTGTTGACAGAAGGGCGTTAGACAGATCACAACACATGAATCGCCAGACCTCTCGGTCACATGTGTGTTGACAGAAGGGCGTTAGACAGATCACAACACATGAATCGCCAGACCTCTCGGTCACATGTGTGTTGTGAAGATGTGTTTTACTAACTTACAGCTGTGCTGCCTAATGTGAGTAAGTGTTGGTCTTGTAATTATTGATAAATAGAAAGTGTTTTTATGTGAAATATGACGTATCTGCCATCGGGTGACGTGATACACGTGATATGTTAACGATTTTATAATGACACATAAAATATTATACTAACCAAAAATGAAACGCAAAACACGGATTAAAAAACGTATTCGACATGATATTCGATTTTTGCGTTTAGTTTTGAGAGACGTAGAGTTGTCGGAACAAAATGCCATTTCCGATGAGATGGAAATTCCCTTCAAAATTGTTCAGAGAGAACAATATGCAAAATTGACCAAACTCAGCTACATGCGAACCCTGTCACCCAAACACATCCATGAACTGCACGTGAAAGATGCTTGTATTTAGCAATAGAAGCACCCGGTGTCCAATCGATTGGTTATTGTTGCTGAAGGAAACGAGAACTCTGAAAAATGGTTGGAAGCAGAGAGGAACAACGCTATAGGTAGATTATAAGCTGGTGAGTCACGTTCTGCAGTATCCAGAGTGTTGGACGTGGCCCAGCACCATAACAAGACTGTGGAACCGGTATTAAAATCCAGGAACAACACGTGACCGACACAGATCAAGGAGACCACGAGTGACCACCAGGGGACAGGACCGGTACATCAGGTTACGTCATCTACGAGACAAAACCACAACTGCATTCCTCTACGGCATCCAGCATACCGGGTATGTGTAGGATATCGGCCCAAACAGTCAGGAACTAATATCGAGAAGCAGGACTTCGGGCCAGTCGTCCCGTTCGTGGGGTCGTTTTAACTGCACAGTGCCGTCAAAGCTGACGTCCGTTGTGTCAAGCAGCAACTTCGTTGCAAATGTTGTGGTTTATCGACGAGTCCCGTTGTATAGTTCAGACTGCAGAATCCGCGTTTACCGATTTCAGTGACAGCGTTGTCCGTCATGCTGTATTCTGGAAATTGATGTATATGTTGCGCTATGATGTGGGCCGCCATCTCGCACGCTGGCAGAACTGGCCTTCACATGCAGGCTAACAAAATCCAGGATCTGCCCTGGCCCTCAAGATCTCCGGATTTAAATCCAGTTAAACATTTGTGGGACGAGTTGTACAGACGAATAGGCGAACATTTTCTACAACAGCAGGCACAAGCACAACGTGTCATTCAGACCCTTGTTGGTTCCATGGGAAGGAGATGCCAGTCTGTCCTACATGCCAGTCTGGTGGCCATACGAGATACTGACCGCCTTGATGACCTTGACCTGGCAGACCTATGGGATTTGTCATCTGTTTCGAATTTAATGTCTCTAAATCTTGTAACCAACATTTTTGCCTTTCTTTTGTGGAGGGGTATATATTTAGTACATGCTTCTAATTTTGTTTAACTAAATTTATTAATCCAACAAAATGAGAATTAAGATTCACTTCTTTGTTCAGGCACACCGACCAGACATAGTTCGGTATTCGAAGATGCAATTTTATAAACACATATATCTGTAACAGTTGCTGTCTTTTATTCATTGGTTGAATAGGACCAGCGCCTATAATAATATTCATCAAACGATTCTTTTGATCTCAGTTTAAACGTTGGAACGTTGTATTGACTCATAAAAATACAGAAAAAATCACAAACAGGAAATTAGCGTGAGAAAGGGAAGTGAGCGATTAAAAGATGATGTAACTATTTGCACTGTCAACAAGCTTAAATGTAGCTAACGGCCGCTGCCAGTCTAGTGTATTAAAGTCTCTAGCACATGAAAGGTCAGTCGTGAACGCTGCCAAGACGTAAGTCCAGGATTCTAAACAGACATATGGCACGATGCGAGGTGTGGACACACCACACAGTTGCAATCCACCAGTGCCAGTGAAATAATGACTCGGCGATCTGCTGATCGGTGCGAGTTTTCTCCTAGATGTTAGTCATCCGCTGCCCAGGCTTGCTGACCAGCTCCGTCCGAAGAAATGCATATATTTACATTGTTATTTATTGTGCTTATTGAGCCAAATCAGCTAGTCTGACCATCCGATCCCGTTAGCTGCCTCTTGTGACAAGCATGGGTTACTATGACGTGTCAGCCAAGTCAGCTAGTCTGACCATCCGATCCCGTTAGCTGCCTCTTGTGACATGCATGGGTTACTATGACGTGTCAGCCAAGTCAGCTAGTCTGACCATCCGATCCCGTTAGCTGCCTCTTGTGACAAGCATGGGTTACTATGACGTGTAAGCCAAGTCAGCTAGTCTTGACCACCCGATCCCGTTAGTTGCCTCTTGTGACATGCATGGGCTATTGAAAACCAAGTTTAACCCTGATCTTTACGGGTGGTCAATACAGTGAAAATAGCACTTTTCTCGAAACTTTGAAACCTAAGTCTTTCACACGCCAGTGTATACTTATTTGCACCGTGCATGTCTGAAACAACAAACCAACCAACCAACCAACCAAATCTTTCCCATCACGACACAGAGGAATTATCAACAGGAAATATAATCTGTAACATCGAAAGAAGGATGCTAGTGGTATCACAACACACAGAGCACCAGTCGGCTCTCACACTGTGTTACACTGTTTGACACGGATGATTCTTGCTTTTTCTTGTTGTATACTGTAAGTACCCGCAGGTCTTTAAGGTGTTCAAATTATGATAACATACCGATGATGCAGCTGAGTCACTGATATGATGTGGCTCGTCTTTTAATCTGGTTTCCTGGGAAGTATAGACATGTGTGCCCCTCTCCTGGGTCTACTTCCTGATCTTCTTGGTATGTTTCACATAATTGTTCTTTCTTGTCAGTTTCAGTCAACATGGCCGCCTCTGTGATGGTGTGTCTGGCATGCTTGGTGATTGCTGCCGAAGGTAATTATTTCATTTTTGTATAATGGTGATGTAGTCTCTTTTCGTTTGGACACAGAGCCACAGTAATGGAAGCTTATTTAAGATTACTGTAATCTCACTGATACGTTGGGCGTTGAAGATCCGGGTTAAAATTGGTCTTCAGCAAACCATGCTAGTCGTAATGGGCAGGGATCGGATGGTCAGATTCGCTAAATTGTTTGACACAAACATGTCGCCGGATCCCATTTATATAGATCGGTGCTCATGCTGTTGACCACTGGATTGTCTGGACAAGACTCGACTTTCTGTAGACCGCCACCATATAGCTTGAATGATTGGTGAGACGTCAAACGAAACAAGCAAGCAAAGCATTTGGTAGTAGCTTTAGTATCATGAACAACACTTATAAGTTATGTGAATTATGTGACTGAAAAACATGCCTTGCTTTTAAACATATAGGTCATGTTAGTTAAACATAACGTTGGAAGAATGCTATAAGACAAAAAAAATTCAAGACAATCCAGTCGCCATCATGGTTGTACGGGAGCCTTAAGTGAGTGAGTGAGTTTTACGCCGCGCGCAGCAATATTCCAGCTATATAAATAATCGAGCCTGTACCAGACAATCAAGTGATCAGCAGCATGAGCATCGATCTACGCAGTTGGGTGAGTGAGTGAGTGAGTGAGTTTAGTTTTACGCCGCACTCAGCAATATTCCAGCTTTATGGCAGCGGTTTGTAAATAATCGAGTCTGGACCAGACAATCCAGTGATCAACAGCATAAGCATCGATCTGCGCAATTGGGAACCGATGACATGTGTCAACCAAGTCAGTGAAACTGACCACCCGATCCCGTTAGTCGCCTCATACGACAAGAAAGTCGCCTTTTTATGGCAAGCACATTGGTTGCTGAAGACCTATTCTACCCCGGATCTTCACGGGTTACGCAGTTAGGAACCGCCCTGACAACCCGATTCCGTTAGTCGCCTCTTACGACAGGCATGGGTTACTGAGGATCAGTTATTCTCATCCGGACCTTCATGGGTCCCTTAAGTAGTCTTCACATCGGTGTTTGTCTGATCAGTCTTGCCTCCCACGCCACACCATGGCCTATCCATCGCCAACGTTGTCATGAGTCCACCCAGGCTGGACGGTTATTTCAACGTCGCTGACGGTGAATCAAAGAAGTCAAAGGTGAATGGGAGCGCATATGAAAACGACACGTGAACACCGACGACGACGACAACATTCACAGTACACGTGTGCATTGTTAACGTCTGGTTGGCATTATGACAATTTGGCATGTTTACATATTCTGACTTAACTTTTGGAAAATCGTTCGTAACTCGTTCGTAACTCAATAGTTTGACATAGGCTTCCGAATCTTGTAGTGTTTCGACCGCTTTGTGGGTCGGGGCCCTGGCGCGTAACACCATTTGCTTGATAAACGCCTGCATTTGATTTGCTGTAGCAGTTTATGTCACAGTACACAGTCTAGTTTAAGTCAATCGATCATAAACTTCCGTCGTTGCCCTCAAGTAGTACCATCATCAAAATTCAGGGTCTTGAGTGAGTGAGTGAGTGAGTTTAGTTTTACGCCAGCAATATTCCAGCTATATGGCGGCGGTGTGTAAATATTCCAGTCTGGACCAGACAATCCAGTCATCAACAGCATGAGCATCGATCTGCGCAATCGGGAAACGATGGCATGTGTCAACCTGGTCAGCGAGCCTGACCACCCGATTCCGTTAGTCGCCTCTTACGACAAGCATGGGTTAAGATCAATATTCTGATCCGGACCTTCACGGGAGACAAGCATGGCTTACTGAAGATCAATATTCTAACCCGGACCTTCACGGGAAACAAGCATGGGTTACTGAAGATCAATATTCTAATACGGATCTTCACGGGAGACAAGCATGTGTTACTGAAGATCAATATTCTAACACGGATCTTCACGGGAGACAAGCATGGGTTACTAAAGATCAATATTCTAACCCGGACCTTCACGGGAGACAAGCATGGCTTACTGAAGATCAATATTCTAACCCGGACCTTCACGGGAGACAAGCATGGGTTACTGAAGATCAATATTCTAACCCGGACCTTCAGGGGAGACAAGCATGGGTTACTGAAGATCAATATTCTAACACAGATCTTCACGGGAGACAACCATGGGTTACTGAAGATCAATATTCTAACCCGGACCTTCACGGGAGACAACCATGGCTTACTGTAGATCAAATATTCTAACCCAGACCTTCAGGGGAGACAAGCATGGCTTACTGAAGATCAATATTCTAACCCGGATCTTCACGGGATACAAGCATGAGTTACTGAAGATCAATATTCTAACCCGGACCTTCACGGGAGACAAGCATGGGTTACTGAAGATCAAAAATTCTAACCCGGACCTTCACGGGAGACAAGCATAGGTTACTGAAATCAAAAACTCTAACACGGATCTTCACGGGAGACAAGCATGGGTTACTGAAGATCAAAAATTCTAACCCGGACCTTCACGGGAGACAAGCATTGGTTACTGAAGATCAAAAATTCTAACACGGACCTTCAGGGGAGACAAGCATGGCTTACTGAAGATCAATATTCTAACCCGGACCTTCACGGGAGACAAGCATGGCTTACTGAAGATCAATATTCTAACCCGGACCTTCACGGGAGACAAGCATGGGTTACCGAAGATCAATATTCTAACCCGGACCTTCAGGGGAGACAAGCATGTGTTACTGAAGATCAATATTCTAACACAGATCTTCACGGGAGACAACCATGGGTTACTGAAGATCAATATTCTAACCCGGACCTTCACGGGAGACAAGCATGGCTTACTGTAGATCAAATATTCTAACCCAGACCTTCAGGGGAGACAAGCATGGCTTACAGAAGATCAATATTCTCACCCGGATCTTCACGGGATACAAGCATGAGTTACTGAAGATCAGTATTCTAACCCGGACCTTCACGGGAGACAAGCATGGGTTACTGAAGATCAAAAATTCTAACCCGGACCTTCACGGGAGACAAGCATAGGTTACTGAAGATCAAAAATTCTAACACGGATCTTCACGGGAGACAAGCATGGGTTACTGAAGATCAAAATTCTAACCCGGACCTTCACGGGAGACAAGCATTGGTTACTGAAGATCAAAAATTCTAACACGGACCTTCACGGGAGACAAGCATGGCTTACTGAAGATCAAAAATTCTAAAACGGACCTTCACGGGAGACAAGCATGGGTTACTGAAGATCAATATTCTAACACGGATCTTCACGGGAGACAAGCATGTGTTACTGAAGATCAATATTCTAACCCGGACCTTCACGGGAGACAAGCATAGGTTACTGAAGATCAATATTCTAACATGGATCTTCACGGGAGACAAGCATGGGTTACTGAAGATCAATATTCTAACACGGATCTTCACGGGAGACAAGCATGCCTTACTGAAGATCAATATTCTAACCCGGATCTTGACGGGAAGCAAGCATGTGTTACTGAAGATCAATATTCTAATCCGGACCTTCACGGGAGACAAGCATGGATTACTGGAGATCAATATTCTAACCCGGACCTTCACGGGAGACAAGCAATTTAATATTACGAAAGCGTACTCGTTTTAAATTTGTATCTGTGATACTCTAGTATTTTACTGCCCTTCGATGACAGGTTTCTACGTTCTAATTTATTGATTTGAATATTGATATAAATTGTTCTCGTCACGGTATGGCTGCAATATTGCCGATGTGACGCTAAATATTAACTCACTCACTCACTCACTAAATGGATATCTGTAATACATTAGTAGTTTTACCGTCCTTCGTCAACATGACTTTTAATTTCTAATTTCATTTATCTATAATATAAATATGAATTGTTTTCTTCACGATATGGCTGAAATATTGTCGATGGGACGATAAATATTAACTCACTCACTCACTCAAGAACTACTCTTGTAAACCTACTGAAAGATGAGATATGAATACGGTTATCATGGTGAAAATTCACTCTTGTGGGACTGTAGCAATCATGTATTAATTGTTCTTTCGAAATTGTTGGGCCGGGGATATTTCTCACTGAAGTAGAAAAGTGTATAAGAATAGGATTAACTCTACTTGTAACGTATTCTGTAGAGATTAAATTCTCAATTTTTTGTTAAACGCTACACTCACTTCCCAAGTCTGTCAAATAATATATGTAATATAACCTTTCAGCCGATCCATGCAATCACACCCATCACTGTTCAGACTGTGACAGAGAGACGGGGCATTGCCTCACTGAGTGTAACACTGGGTATTACGATCGACGATGTAAGTCTACCTGCAGCAGGAACTGTAGGAATAACACATGTGTGCTCTCAAGTAATGGAAACGATAACTGCACACACGGGTGCGTCCCAGGATACCAGGGTACCAGCTGCAACATACCATGTGACAGTCCAGGAGGTAACTGTACAGCATGTCCAGGTGGCTGTGATAGAGGATATTGTCAGCTGGGCTCATCCTGTGTGTCTGGATGTGTAGACTCCTACTACGGAACTGGCTGTAAGAACTGTTCAAGTGGATGTACGCCATGTAACAGGTCGACAGGAACATGTGATGATAAATCTGGTATGTATAATATTAGGAGCACCAACCTTACAGGCTACAAGCTTAGATCTGTCGATCAGAACTTGTAGATTTTACTATCGAAAAAGTGCTTAATATGATGGTGTGCGCGAAATATGGTGACAAATCTAACCTAAGAAATTTGTATACACGGGATTTTGTAAGTGAACATACCATCACAAAAGATTTTTGTCCTCAGTCAGGAGCTTCATTCACTATAAATTACCCGTATACCATGTTTGTGACCACCGTATGCCATCCTGGGTGAGGGATTTGGATTTAATTCCGTAGTTATCTCGCCATTTCTCAAATGCAAGTGAACCAAAAGCTTGATGTAGTATTGCCCTGTAACACCCCAAATTAATTCATTTTCCTGCAGAAAGGAGGAAACAAAATACATCGTTTTATCGAGTGGAATCGATTTATGTAAGTGGAACTATGAACTTTATCATTGCCAAATTTGGACCTGTATATGATTTGTTAAAACTGTTCAATGAACAGGTCTACATTACTACACCTTTGGGTAATCGAAACACAGGAGGAACCAGCTTTTTGTACAATACGGTAGGAACACCATGGAATTAAAAATACTCACTACAATATTGGTCGGTAGAGAATAGCCAACACACAGGAGACGTTGCCTTTCTTGTCTGCATAGATTATGTCTCACATACCTTGAAACAAACCAATTTGGACGAAAAGATCATTCCTAAATATGTATAATGTGAAAAAGGTCGCATTTACAAACTTTTCTAGTGCTATTTCACGAGTATGTTTAAGTAATCTCTATTTCTAAAGAAAATAATATTAGATTTAGCTATACTAGCTTTTTCGTGCCGTTTCTGACAATAAATATATAGGGCAGCAACACCTCTGTGTGTCAACATACTCATCGATTAAAGATTAAAGACATGTCATCAGCAGACAACAGTGATAACATTTCTTCATCATTTTCTGAAATAAAACAAAAAGAAACAGGTGACAAATTAGTTCATAACAAGGATAAATAAAACTGGACAGAGCATATAGCCTTGGCGCACTCAAAATTATGCATTGCATAAAAACGTGATTTGCAATTTCCTGCTCTAACAGAAGCTGTATCCTTACTACACGTATTCCGTCACATACAATTCATACTCTGGAAACTCAGAATTCGAGTTTTATTTTCTCTGAGAAATACATCAAGGTTTATCTAATTCACCTTGTTCTTTTTCAGGTAACCCTGTTAGATTGGGACTGTATTTGGGACTGTCCGCAGCTGTAGCTCTAAGTTTAACGATCAACATGATTGTATGCTGCAAGTACTGTCAACGCTCGAGGAAGAACAGGTGAGTTAATGAGCCATTGTCTGACATAGAGTCAGGGTCGCCGAGAACACTCAGTGTTTACTTGTTTCTTGTTCAACGTCGCACTCAGCAATATTCGACCTATATGGTCGCGAGCTCTCAGCAATCAAGTCTGAGCTAGACAATCCACTGATTGACCTGAACATCGATGTACGCATCTAGGATACAATAACGTGCATCACGCACCTGAGTGACTCCCCTCTTCCCGTTAGTCGCCTCTGACGACAAGGATTTGTTGCAGAAGACGAAATCTAACCCGAATCTTCCCACTGCATGCTTCCTGGGTAACGACGGTTTTCCTTCCCTCAATAGGATATCTTTCTTTAAATGATTGCGACATTGGAATATTCCAATGATATGTCCCACACTGTATGTGGATGTTGTGTGTCTGTAATCAGGAACTGTTCCTTTTAATAGAACTGACATTGACGTATCTGGTAACTGTTTATTGATTGCAGCAACACCTCTGTATCTTTGATACCAGTTAATCTGCATCTGTGTCTCCTGTTAATCTGTGGCTGTGTCCCCAGTTTATCTGTGGCTGTGTGTCCTGTTAATCTGTGACTGTGTCCCCAGTTAATCTGTGGCTGTGTGTCCTGTTAATCTGTGACTGTGTCCCTGTTAATCTGTGGCTGTGTGTCCTGTTAATCTGTGACTGTGTCCCCAGTTAATCTGTGGCTGTGTGTCCTGTTAATCTGTGACTGTGTCACCAGTTAATCTGTATCTGTGTTATATGTTAATCTGTATCTGTGACGCCAGTTAATCTGTGGCTGTGTCCCAAGTTAATCTGTGACTGTGTTCCCAGTTTATATGTGACTGTGTCCCCTGTTAATCTGTGACTGTGACACCATTTATTTTGTGACTATGACACCACTTAATCCGTGACTGTGAAACCAGTTAATCTATGATTGTGTCCCCAGTTAATCTGTGACTGTGTTCCCAGTTAATCTGTGAGTGTGTCTCCTGTTAATCTTTGACTGTGTCTCCTGTTAATCTGTGACTGTTACACTAGTTAATCTGTGACGGTGTCCTCAGTTAATCTAAGACTGTGTTCCCAGTTTATATATGAGTGTCTCTCCTGTTAATCTGTGACTGTCACACCAGTTAATCTGTGACTGTGTCCCTAGTCAATCTGTATCCGTGTCACCAGCTAATCTGTGAGTGTGTCCCCAGATAATCTGTATCTGTGTTTGCAGTTAATCTGTGATTGTTTCACCAGTTAATCTGTGACTGTGTTTCCTGTTAATCTGTGACTGTGTCTCCTGTTAATCTGTGACTGAAGCATGTCTACTCATGACTGAAACCCCAGTCTATCGAACTTTTTTCCTATATTTTGACCAGTATATATACTGAAAGTCATTAAAAACGCTATTGGTATTTGTTGTCCTGAAACTTACGAAAGTTCTATTGAAGATGTTTTCCTGCAATACAGAGGATGTAGGGATAAAAGGTTGTTATTCTGGCCCATTTTGAGTTTGAGTCCCGGAGCATTCCTCTCTCATGAACTTTGATGCTTAAAACTGAACCTTTGACTTTTCTCGTAAACACAACCACATTCATGAAACTCGTTGTGCACATGCATTACCTGCATCCAGGCCCTGTAAAAGCACAAGGAATTGTGGAACTCAATCACTGTGAGAAAATGTCAAACTTGACACAAGACGAAAGGAATCAGGTTATCGGTATGGTCAGCCAATGTGCTTCAGATGTGATGATTGCCAGGCACTTTAATGTGCATCCATCGACTGTAAGTCGACTCAGACAACGTTTTCGGGCTACCGGAAGTGTTGCTGATCGTCCGCGACCTGGTGCACCACCTGTGATAACAGCTCGACAAAACCGCAATATCCGAGTTTCACACTTGCGAAATCGGTTCCAAACAGCTGATGATTAGGCAAGGAGGACAATTGGGACAAGTCAACGTCATTTCAGCGCCCAAAAGGGCCTTCAACATCTGGTGTCGTCACCAGTACCGTGGTCCATCCTTATTGCATCGCCGCAGACTTGCCAGACAGCGATGGGCAGCAAATGGGGCCAATCTTGGCAACAGGACATGGCCAGATGTCTTGTTTTCAGATGAATCCCGGTTTAACTTATCCTTTGCAGATGGACGTCAACAGATTTATCGACGTAAAGGAGAAAGACTTGCGTCAACCTGTGTCCTTGAACATGATCGTTTTGGAGGGGGTGGTGTCATGATCAGACCACAGACCATCCAACAGCTGTTCCTGAGAAATGTGTGTCTTTCAATGCCCCAAAGACTGCGAACATGTCTTGCAGCGCACGGTGGACACACACGATATTGACTGCAAGCGTCACTGATATTGTTGTTGACTGGACATTTTCAGATGAAATTATTTACAGATGTTCACTTAAAACATATCTGTCAGTTAGGTTTATATATGTTGAAATTAGTGTGAGTAAAGATAGTATGAATGTCAAATTGCATTTTTAATGGCTTTCAGTATATGTAATGCATATCTTTGTTTAGCATATAAATGTCCGTCGCACCTGTCTTTCAGTGACTTTGGCACCTGTCCACAACCGATCAGTCATTCCTCAGCTTCCAAATCAGCAATACTCGCAATCATGACACGGTTTTTGACCCGTGAAGATCCGTGTTAGAATTAATCTTCAGTAACCCATGCTTTTCGTAAAAGGCGACTAAAGGGGTCGGGTGGTCAGGCTCGCTGGTTTGGTTGACACATGTCATCGTATACCAATTGCGCAGATCGGTGCTCATGCTGTTGATCACTGGATTGTCTGGTCCAGACACGATTATTTACAGACCGCCACCATATAGCTGGAATATTGCTGAGTGCAGCGTAAAACTAAACTCACTCACTAGAAGTGGATGATGAGCCTAAAGTATAAACTGTAAATATTGACACATATTTGGAATGTCTGAATGTCTTTCATGACATTAGTTTACATTGTTCTTACTTGACAGTGTCCCCCAGACAAAGGAGACGTGCAACAACGTTGCTGAGGTTGACGATGCTGCTGTTGCCGAGCTGGAATGGTACACGGACATACCACTAACAGACATGGCCCGGGCCAGGGAGACCACTGGTGGGAACAGCGGCGGGGGAAGTGGAGCCGCTGCTTTTGTGGATGACGTTTACGACGTTGCTGTAGAACGCAAACCGAGATTCCCTGTTGTTGTTGGCAGCATATATTCCAAGTTGTCACATGATCAGTAAGTGGGGTCTCCATGCTAAACTTCACGGTATACTGCAACATGGTATCTCGGTGTGCTCCCACTATAATATCACCTCAAGTCCAAGCATTTGCATCCACAACTTTACATGTCTGCCACTATGCAACCGCAACATTAAACTTTATTTCACTTCAGTTCGATCAGACATTTCATATAACATTTGAGTGGTGAAGTCTAGTGGTTTAAGCGTTTGTTCGTCACGTCAAAGACCTGGGTTCGATTCCCGACATGTGTACAAAATCGGCATAAACCTAAACTCACTCACTCTAACTCTCACACTCACTCACATATAACATATGGTATTATTTGATATCTTGTGTCTTAATATTGTTCACAAAATCAGCATGCATGCAACTTCCGCATTCTGTTTGTCCGCTTGCTATATGCATTTTGTTGTTGCTGTTGTTTTTGTTTGTTTTGTTTTGCTTTTTTTTGTTGTTTTTTTTCTTGTTATTTTATTTTATTTTATTGTTTTATTATTATTATTTTATTTATTTTATTTTTTTTTTTTTTTATTTTTGGGGGTGGGGGTGGGGGTGGGGTTTTGCATGTTGTTTTTTTTGGGGGTGGTACTTGTTTTCTTTCTTTTCTTTTTCTTTTTCTTTTCTTTTTAGGGGTCTTGTATTTTGTTTGTCCGCTGTTGTTTTTGTTTGTCTATTTGGTTTGGTTGTTTTGGGCTTTTTTGGTTTTATTTCTTGTTTGTTTTTATTTGTTTTGTTTTGTTATTTTGGTGTAGTTGTTTGTTTGGGTTTGTTTTTTCTTTATTTTGTTTAGTTTTGTTTTTTCTGGGTTTTTTTGTTGCTTTTTCTGTGGAGCTTTGAATGTGTAATTTAGATTGATGTAGTAGCAAGATAGTTTGACAGGTGTGGTCCTGTATTTAGGACAGGCCACGAAACCGTTAGATTGTTGACCAAGGTTTCAGTAACTGCTAAAGGCCAAGGTGTCAGTAACTACTTTAGCACATGCGGCTTCATTACTGCGTGAATCACTTTCAGGTAACAGAATTGTCAAGTTTTGTCATTTTTAAAAAAAAAGTAATCTCAAATGTGAACTTAAGTTTGGATTCCCACGAAAATATGCTGTCAAATTTGTGAATGAAAACTCATATCCAGTGAATAAAGTCTTGCGTTATGGCAACACCGTCTTTGCTGCAATGTTTTACTGTTATACAATGGGGCGTGGGGTAGCCTAATGATTAAAACGTGTCCTCTCGTCACGATGAAGACCCGGGTTCGATTCCACTCATGGGTCAAATGTGTGAAGCCCATTTGTGGTTCCCCCGCCGTGATATTCATCGAATATTAGTAAAAGCGCCGTTTAACCATACTCAATCACTCACTCACTGTTTTAAAGCGTTCGCTCGTCATGTAGGCAGTCAGGGTTCGATTTCCCATATGCGTACAATGTTTGAAGCCCATTTCTGGAATCCCGAGACGTGATTTGGCTGAAACATTACTAAAAGAGGCGTAAAACCACACTCACTTCATTTGTAAGTTGGGGCACAGGCATTACCTGCTGTTCAGCATGATGTAAAGATGAGGAGATGTATTAGATATACCCACACTTTCCGAGGTGTGCCGCTCAATACCCCTACTGTTTGAGTCGTGTGGCCTCCGAGGCGTTAGCCGAGGAGACCATACGACTCAAACAGTAGGGGTATTGGGCGACACACCGAGGAAGTGTGGGTACATCTGACTTATACCTCACTTCTGGTCGAGTTACGAGTTTATTATAACACTTTATGTTCTAATTATGACAAAAAAGAGTATTTCTTTTCCATCTGTTTCATTTATTTTTAGCCCACTGGTTAAGACCCTCAAATGTCCCACGTCTATAGTCTGTTTGCAGTGAAACCCACCGATCAATTTCACTTTAAACAAAAAAGTACTCAAATAAGTGAAATTAAGATTGCGAATCTCATAATTTGACCTTGCCAAATGAACATCTCAGAATTATATTCAACTTAGAATAAAATTTGTTTAACAAATGATCATAGTTTCAAATCAATATTATTGGTTTGTATTACAATTTTAGGGGGGGGTAAGCGCAGTAGTTGGAACAGTGAAACAAATGCCCGTGCGGTACGTAACAAGCGTTAACTGCTACCAAACCTGCATGTTCTGGGTGTTTCATTTAATGCGCATACCCCATTGTAATACAAACCAATAACAGCGCCTTGAAACTATGATCGTTCGTTAAACAACTTTTATCCTAAGCTGAATATAATTCTGAGATTTAAATGTTCAATAGGCAAGGTAAAATTATGGGGATTTGCAATCTTAGTTTCACTTTATTTGATTTACTTTTTTAAAGTGATATTCATCGGTACGTTTTCACAGACTATAAGCAGTCGATTGCACGTGCATGCACGGGCTTGCACGATTTCACACGATTTTAAACACCAGTTCGGGCGAGAGAATGACTTCAAGTAGCCCCAAATATGCGCAATATTACTGATAATTGACATTTGTATGGGCAGACCAATGCGCATACGTTCTCTGACTCGCATGTGGCATAGAAAACATTTGGAAGATCACACGTTCGTTCGCCATGGATGCTGAAGAGTGGACAGAGGATTTTCTTTCTCAAATTGACTGTTCGTTAGCGTCACATTTCGAC